CAGCAGAAACCCCAGCTGTACTGTCAGGTGGTACAGGTCATTTGAATAAAGGCAGATACTTTAAAGGTGAATTGACCCAACATCTATTCATAGATTAAGTACCCTATAAAGGGGTAGGGGATTTTTTATCTGACTTTGGTCTTCTCTGTAATTTTGTCATGATCACAAGAGAAGCTGGGCAGGTTTGCCGGCTTGAGTCTGATGTCCTCGCTCAGAATGCTCTAGAAAAGGTCAATTGTGTCTGCACTTTGGCTCTACCTCACGGAGCAGCTGTCTGGAGAAATCCTGGTACTCCCCGCTGCTGCAGTTGAGCAACTTCTCCGTTAAGTTACGGTTCATGATCCTTATTGTGATTTCAAATACTCGGGCATCTGAGACAGACAGAAATAAAAATTAGCTGAAATCCTGGGATGGAAAGTCACATGCTTTTATCTCTTTCCTTGTTTTCATTCTTTCTTCCTTCTGTCCTTCCTTTCAATTTGCCAGTGTGTGTGTACACTCGACAGAGAGAGAGAGAGAAGAAGAAAGCACCCCCCAATGAGACATAGTCATATTGCAGTCCCTTCTCCATTCTGTTGGGAGTTGGGGCTTGCACACACACAGGCTGATCATGCTTTTCAAGTTTCAGGGTCAAGATTTGAACCATGATTGGTTATGTAGGAACTGGTGCCCTTAACCACTAGACTTCCAGGTCAGCCCCAAAAGTCTCACCCTTTTCTGTCATCATTTTCCATAAAGCCTATTCTTGAGGAGAAAGTTAAGAAAAAAAAAATAGATTGAGGCATAAATCTTAGATTGAGGTAGCCAAAATGGGGGAAAGGAATGTGAGGCATATTTGCATCTATTCTGGAGTGAAGAAGTATTGACATAAACATGCACGTTATGTCCAGGGCAGGGACCCCTGAAAAACAAGGTACAAACATCATATATAGTTCACACCAAATGCATGTAGGGTATGAAGGCCTCTCCAACAGTTCACTCCTGTGGGCCATAAACCCAACAGGTCCTCATGTGCACCCTGACCAGGCCCCAACACTGGGTGACCAGTCAGCCCCAATTTGAATCTTCAGGTTCCAGCACTGAGTCCCATCTCTCCCCAAGCACTAGTAAGAGCACTCACCACAAAAAGGCTATCTTTTCCATGTACATAACTGAGGCTGAGAAAAAGAATCAAGATGTGTGATGGAAACATGAGCCTCTTCAACTCCTAAGAATAAAGCCCATATGCACAGGCAATGTCTGCAGGTGTCAGAAGCAGGGCAGACTGCAACTTTTCACTAACTGCCTAGTAGCCACCCACAGCTGCTCCCCACCAGCCAGCAAGGTGGAGGGGTCTTCGCAGTTTGTCGCCTCTGCACGGTGTACTTAAGTCTCAGAAAAGCCATCAGCATTGGGTATTTCCAGGTCAGGGACCCCTGAGTCTCCCGTTATAGCAAGAGAGAGCAGCCCCTTAGTGACCCATGATTCTCAGGCCTCAGCTCTGGCCTCTCTCCCATGCATATCGCAGAGCCTTGTGGACAGTCCAATCCACCAGCACCCTGGGTGTCAGATTCACTATGAGGCCTGGGGCACCAACCGCTGTAGAAATGCCCAGAGCCTTCTGACATGTAGGCTCATGATAAGGTTAAGTTAAATAAGGCCTCTAAAGAGAACCAAGCACTTTAGAAGGGGCTCTACAAACAAAAGGCTTTTTTACCGTTCTGAAAAGGGAAGAAAATCAGGTGGAAGGTTGGAATTGGCTGATAATGTAGTCTTCTAGAATGCTCTGAATTATCTCTTCTGGGCATGTGGATGCGAGCACTTTTTCTGAGGACAGGGGATGGTGAGGTGGGGTGGAACTGCAAATCCCTGCTGTGTGTCCCGACAGAGGTCTATTCTGCACTGTAGAGGGGGCTGTGTTCGTGATCACATCTGGGATGGACTGGGAGGGGAGCATGAAGCCTCGGCAAGGCAGAGGATGGTGGACGATGGGGAGTGGGAGGGCTCAGGCCTGTCCCCACCTGCAGGATGACTCTCAGGCACATAGCCACTTTAGGCCTCAGTGTCCTCAAAGGGAATAGCAGCCCTCTGCTTAGTCCCATAGTTCTTAGAAAATAGAAAATGAGGGGCCAGCAGGTGGTGTGGTGGTTAAGGTACTGGATTTCCATATGGTCAACCATAGTTCAAATCCCAGATCTGGTGGCTTGGAAATAACACCAGAGACATATGTGATCATGCCCAAAATCTTGAGAGAAGAATGTAAGAGAAAGAATTGCAGCATGGCCACCACCACCCCTCCCCCCGGGTTAATGATTTCTCACTTTTGCTCTCTCTCCAGCAAGCACATGTGCCAAAAGGAAGGATGGAAGGAAGGAGGGAAGGAAGAAAGGAAGGAAGGGAGGGAGGGAGAGAGAGAGAGAGAGAGAGAGAGAGAGAAAGAAAAAGAAAAAGAGAAAACGAGGTCATGTCTGTTCAGAAATTAGAGCCTCATGCAAAGTCCAGGGCCTGTGTTTTGTGTGGCTGGGGCCCTGGGGTCCCCATCCTGGGCATATGACCACCTAGTATGGGGTTCTCCCAGATTGGTTCCTAAAGGGCATGGGGCCAGTTGTAGAGGTCCTGCTCAATCCCTCGTTCCTTCATGACTGCCAGTCTCTGTCACAAGTGCTGATCTCTGTGAATAAAACAGACCCTGATGCTTTTCTGAAGCAGTTCCTGTGCTGACACAGGAGTCCCCTGTCTGGGGATTCCTCCTGCTCTAGGTTAGGGAAGCTCACATCAGGAACCCAGGACAGACCATTTCAGGGCCCTGCCATTTCCTACATTCATACTCTACAGCCACCGAGGCCAGCCTGGGGAACCTCTGCTGCCTACGCCTGACCTAACCATGTGGTTCCACCCATGACCTGGCAAAGGAGGAGGCAGAGGGCAGAGCCAGACAGGCCACCAGTTGCCACAGGGATTGGCATTAGAAGTCACATGTGTGCGTCTGTGTTGCCTGGGGGAAAAGTCCCCTGCTGGCATGGGTACAGAAGATTTTGCCTCAGGTTCCATGCATTGCACATGGGGAACAGGGCAGGCTCCCACAGTGTGAGGTCTGGCCCTGGCTGTGGGAGATCATGCAGATTTAGTCCCTGGGATTAAGTGTGCAAAATTCTTTAAATACATGCAAAATCCCACTATCTACTTGACTGCATGTTGCCTGTCTAACTGGTGGCTTTCTAAGGGCATGGAACTATGGAAAGAAGGGATCTCACAGAGCTCTATGCTGTCATCTCTGATTCAGAGGGAGCCCCAAACAGGAAGAGTTGTAGAGAGCAGGGAAGCCCACAAAGGACACAGGAAGCTCTGCCAGGCAACAGGATGGCTCCGAGGACACAGAAGAAGCATGGAGCTGCTTCAGTGCTGCTCAGGTCCTGATTCTAGGGAAGACAGTGGGATAGTGGGGGCTATAGAACTGGGAGAGAACTTGCAAGGCACCAGGGACTTCTGGCTGCAGCCTCACCGGTTTTGACAGTCAGCATGGAGAATACTCGGGCCCCGCTTCCCTGGGAGCTGGTCTTCACCTTGTAGAGTACTCCAGCCTCCAGCCCAGCCACCTGCAGGGTCAGGCCCCTTGTTTGCACGCTTCTGAGCAACTCCTCACCCCTGTAGATCTGCACATGGAAAGTGCAGTTCCGGGTGGAATTGAAAGTCCAGGACACTTGGAAACTGCTGCTAGTGACGTTGAGGATCATGTAGTCGCCAATTGGAGGACAATCTGAGAAAGCACAGAGTGAAGGAGAGGCACAAGATGTCAGAGAGGGTTGTTTTATCTTCTGAAGCAGGTGACACAGCCTCAATTTAACTTAGCTCTCGCCTGTTCGTTGACCAAGTTCACCAATGCAGGGCAACACTCACTGTTTTTTGCAATTATGGAGTAAACCGATTAGTTCAAAATAGAGGTTATTAACCTTCTCTTTCTCAAAACTGTTGAGGTAGTTTAGGAATGCCTTAATGTGATAGGAATGGTTGAGATGAAATATTAATAGAATACAAAATGACATCTTGGGTCAAAATCTCAGTCCCTCTAACTAAGCCAGGTTAGGGGGAAGGTAAAGCAAATGAGCCTCGGTCTACATTGTGGATAACACCACGTTGTGTGTAACACCACACGTGTGTCAGGTGTGGGGAGGCTGATGATCTAGAGAAAGGAGAACAGTATCTCGGGACTAAAACAAGGTCGTCGTTCAAAAAGCGTTCACAGCAGTGCCATGGTGGTGTGTTGCCTCTGCAAATACAGCCTGGCACACCCCTGCAGGGCGCCGCCATCTGATCCTTGACAAGCACATGATCAGCTGCACAAGAACCTCTGCTCTCTGCTGATTCATTGTGCCGGAACCGTAACCCCATCAGGAAGCAGGGCTCGGAAACCAGACCCTTTTCATGCTTTTCTATCGTAATTCATGCTTTAAGGAGCAAAACTCGACTCTAACAACTGGTATGGACTCCAGTGTGTAAGTAGAAAGCTCTTTTGAGGAGAAAGATTCTGTCTGCCCAGCCGGCAGCTCAGCAGAAGGCACCACGTAAGACATAGAAGCCGTCAGGATGGGTGCCGGAATTTTCACCTCTGAGCTTCAGTCCTTCCTATACAAAAGCAATGAAGACCTTTAAAAAAATATTTTGCCTAACTATGGTAAAGGAAAAAATCACTTGTGTGTGACTTCCCAAAGCTCTTGATGTAAAGATTCATAGGATATGTGTTTCTAGTATCAGGAAGGAATTCTGTCTTTCCAGACACACGTGTATGCTTCCTTTGAGTAAAATAAATAAATAAATAAATGCAACTTGACCCATTTCTCTCTTTGCCTTGGCTGCCAAGAAACTCAGAATCAGATTTCGTGCCCAGTTGTAGTCTGGTGACCTAGCCGTGTTGTCTCCCATCTTTTATAAATCTCAGTCCCCTGTGTATGGGTGCTCCTCACTGAGCCCTCATAATCCACCTCAGAAAGAAAGGGAATGTTGTTAGAAGCCTGGTTTGTCTACCAGCCTTGTTTGGAAAGGACTGATGACATTAGTAGGAATTCTCACTGTTTCCTAATAACACTCCCAGGATAGGGAGTTAAAGTGTATTTTTTATAAACCTTTTCTTCTCCCCTCCCCTATTCAGGAGAGAACACATGCATGTGAGAGAGAGAGACGTATTCTCCACAGAGTATGGTTTTTATCCTTTTCCTCCAGTCCTCCAGCATATGGGATCTCTGGCACTCAAGTACGTGCCCTGTGTGTCTCAGGTGGACCAGACCAGGGACTCAAACCATGGTCACCTTGTGGGCTCTGCCTTCTCTTGAGCACATTACCACCACACCATGGAGCCAGCACTGAGGTGTATTTTTAAAAGATACATCTAGGGGCAAGCCCTGTAGCACAGTAGTTAAGTGCTATGAATTGAGAGCTAGATCCCACATGGCCAACCATGGCAGCTCAAAAACACACTGGGTGCATGCCCAAAGTTCTGGTTAAATGGAGGAAAAAGGATTGTGGTGTGACCATGTCCCACTGGGGAGTCCTTTCTCTCTTGCTCACTCTCTTGGGTAAGTGCATGTGCCCTCTGTTTTTTGTTTTCTTTTTCAAGGATACATCTATAGCTTTTACGGAATTGTTCTGTATTTTCTGTGTGTTGATCATAAAAATAGCCATGGGTACAGCTGTTCGTTATTAGGATATTTCCCCTTCTGGCTAAAAAAGCAGAACATGCTTCAACGGGCAAGTGGCTGCAACTTGAAGCTGTAAGTCTCACCCCCAACTCCATGGTCACTGAGACCCTGAAACCAAAAAGACCCCACCCCCCCACACACACACAGTGCCTGGCCTCCTAACAACCACATAGCACTTTGATCTGTCCCTTAGAAACATATCTCACCGAACAGTAAGGAAGGGCTACAGTTTCTTTTCAAAAGATCTGCTGAAAGTTCTGACTGCTCTGTTTTGGTCAAGACACACAACACAGAGCAACTTTTGTCCACATCAGTGAAGACATGATGGCTCAACACCAGGTAAATAGGAAGGTGAGAGCTGAGAGCTATCTGGAGGCTGAGCTTCAGCGTCCTGCCCACACCCAGGGCTGTGGCCTGGGTCTCCTTGAGGTCATCCAGAAATCAGCCTTGACATGGGGTGACACTGCGTGGGATAGCAGAGGCCTTTCACATGCTGTGGGCTTTTTAAAAGCACATTCTATAAGTACTCTAAGATGAGTGGAATCTTTCCTTTCCTTTCCTTTCCTTTCCTTTCCTTTCCTGTCCCCTTTCCTTTCCTTTCCTTTCTTTCCTTTCCTTTCCTTTCCTTTCCTTTCTTTTCCTTTTCTTTTCTTTTCTTTTCTTTTCTTTTCTTTTCTTTTCTTTTCTTTTCTTTTTTTAGAGAGGGTTTTGCTATAGGGTATGTGTGCTCACCAGAAAGACAGAGGGACAGAAAGCAAGAAATCACCCCCCAGGGGGGATAGCCATGCTGCAATCCCTTCTCCTCCATTCTCCTCTCAGGATCTTGGGCACACACGCACACGCATCCGGCATGAGTTTAAGCCACTGGGTCCGGGACTCGAACCACAGTCAGCTACATGGGAGTTCAGTGACATAGCCATTACGCTAACTGCTGGTCCCAGGGCCCCCTGCATGTTTGAAAAGAGTACAGGGCAATGGGTGTTTAGAGGTCTAAAGAGATCTCAGGGCTGACACTGCATGTGTCACCTCTTAATATAGTATCTAAGAGGATTTTATAGGTTTGAGGAAAATGAAACTAAAGTATAAGATTCTTTTGGTGCAAAAAATGTTGAAATCCATGCAGGAGGTATTTTCATAATATGCATTTTCCATTAACTTTTTGAAGCCCCTGACACGTTCACACTTTACATTAAGAGGCCAGTGGACTCTGAGATCTCTGGGTGGAGAAACTGCAAATCTGGCACTCTGAATGCTGTGAAACCCTCCAAGCCACCCACAGAGACAGTTTCGGCAGCTAAGAGAGATGGTGAGCATTTGGAAGAAGAGAATTCCTTCCAATCCACAGAGAAATTCTTTGTGTGGCTCCTTTTCCAATTCACTCCCTTGAGGCAGTTGAAATGATTCTTGTTCAATCATTTCTAACCAACTACAGCAGCAGTTCCATAGAACTCAATGTTTATTGGGCATTTACTAAGCACTCAGCGTTGCCATAGACACTGAAGAAAGAGCCCACAGCATGGTGACACACACAAGGACGTCCAAGCCGGAGCAGCAGGCATCACAACAGCAGCAGGGATGTGGGGCAGCGGAACACTTGCAGTGCTGTGAGTTCACACCCTGTGTGTGCCCCTCCCACAACACCACGTCAGGCTCCATCTCAGCTCCCAGCGACTCAGTTGCAGATGACATTTTCTTAATGCTGTGCACCAGACCTAGTACCCTGTTTAGTCCTTACCACAATCCCACTAGGTCGTTTCTTCTATCATTCTCATTTTACAGGAGACAAAACTGAGGCCCAGAAAGGTCAAGCAGAAGGCAAATGGCAAAGCTGAATGATAGCTAATGACATAGTTCACCTGCTGTGCCCCCAAGCTGTCCTATCATTGGTAGTGGACTGAATAATGACGTCCTAAGCTATCAACCCCTAAACCCTGTGTCCTGCATAAGTGACCTTATTCGGAAAAAGCATTTTTGCAGACACAATTAAGCTAATGACCTTGCAATGGGATATTACCCTGGATTAACCAGGTTGACCCAAAATGCAATCACAGATGACCTTATAAAAGGAAAGCAGAGAGAGATTGGGTACACACACAGAGGAGAAGGTGATGTGAAGATGGGACAGAGACAACTGAAGATAATGGTCTTGAAGAGCAGAGTGACACAGCTGCAACCCAAGGACAGCACCAGACCAGAAGCTGGAAGATGCAGGAAAGGGATTCTTTCTAGACCTTCCACTGAAGGTTGAACAGTGCTTGAAGTTTGTAAAGTCCTCCAAAAGGTGTACAGTCCTTGAATGTTGTGGGTCCTCTAGAGGGTGTGCAGTCCTCCGAAGGTTGTGTAGTTGTCTGAAGGCTGTGCTGACCTCCGAAGTGTGTGCAGTCCTTCTGACACCTTACCTTGGGTCCAGTGATACTGACTTGGACTTCTAGCCTCCAGAGCTGTGAGAGCATACATTTCTGTGGTTTGAACCACCCAGTGTTACAGCAGCCACAGGAAACTCATTCATTCCTTTCTTCCCTTTAAGATTTCAAGGCAGCCATCCCAAGGCTGAACAAACATGATTGTTGGCCAGTTCTCTGTGTTGCTGTAAGACTGATAACTTCTGACTTATTGGGCTAATCCCTCTTCTGCAGGAGAGATCCTGAGATATGTTAAGATGGAAAGAGATACCTTCTCTCCTACACTTTTCTCTTCCAAGGTAAGCCTCTGTAACTTGGTTTGGGGCCCTTCATTAGCCAGTGCACCTTCCTCTGGTTGCCTTTAGTTTTTTAATGTCCCTTTTAACATGCGGCTGAGAGCCATCCCCATGATCTAGTAATTAGGGGAGTGGGATCCCACATGGCTAACTGCAGTTCAAATCCTGGCCTTAGCAGCTTGACAAACACTCCAGAAATGTGTTCGTGTGTGTCCAAAATCCTAACAGGGAGGAGAAATTGAGGGAAAGGGATTATGGTGTGACTATGCCCCACTGGGGGTACTTTCTCCTTCTCTTTCTCTGTCTCTTTGTCTCTCTCTGGTAAGTGCACATGCCCTCTGGCAATAAAAAATATCCATAGCCCTA